CTAAACTAAGTCAATCAACTGACTAAAGAAAAACAACTAAGCTTCGGCTTCTTCTTCAGCCCTGTCTGCAAAACACTCCTGCTGAGGATACTCTGGCTCTGGCGTAACTCTAAGTTGGACCTATTCGTCCTCTAAATCTAACGTACAACCCGAGAGAACAGGAGTACGTCAGCATGCATGGCACACGACAAGATCCCACAATGGAGAATAGAAACGATCGAATGACCAAACAATGATAGTAATAATAATAGAAACATACAACTGGAATTCTAACAGTCTAGATGCTATCCACAACTAGAGTATAACAATTACTAGAATCTAAAATTGAACCGAGTAACGAGGTCATGCAGCTAGCCATCCTATAATATATAGGTCACTGGTCCATATCTCACATAGAGTCAACGTTCATATTCTCGGATGACTGACTGTTCACAAATCCCCTACATGCATCCAATACAGCTATACAAACTCGGTCAGAGGACTACACGCAATCCAATTTCGGTCTAGTTCAAACACAAGTAACACTCGGATGAATAACAAATTCACTTACCAAAGTGACTATACAAACTTCACTTTGACCCAACAGACCAACCCCAGTGCTACACAAACTCACTGGTGCAAGCCTGGAAGATACATCAACAACCTTATCTGATTACATGAACCAAGACTTCTCATCCCAACTCTTCTGATTTATTTTCTAAGTCAACAAACATGACTTACAATAGATCTTTGGTCCACTTCCTAAATTTAGCCAACGCACACACACACATGTCACTAAGTCTTGTTCATGACGCGCAAAGCCACTAAATTATGAACTACTAATGGTTCTCAATCACAACAAGGAAAAAGTAAATAAATACAATCAATCCTGTGCAACGATATCGTGACATGTCAAATAATTAAATCTAAGATTCATAAATTATAAACAACATCTATATAATTCAGAAATAATATTTTTCCAAAATAATTTATTTTAAATAATTATAATTTTCCTAAAATGATTATTGTTACAAAATAAATTCTTTTAATTTATAGTAATTATTCTAAAATAATAATAAACTTATTGATTCAAATAATCCTTTTACAAAATAATTTTTTTAAAAAAAAATCTTTAATACCATTCAACAACAAATCCACGCATAATATCACAATATTCATACTACAACATAATCAAATCATAGTCTAATCCATGCATATAATTCATAACAGATCTAAATATTGAAATGATGAGTCAATGAGTAAGAGGGGTCTTGCCTACGAGTTTTTGTCAAACATATCGACGTTGACGTGCGAGACTACGGCCCGCGGTGAGGCGACGGTGACGAGTCTGTAGGAGAAGCTCGGACGGCGGGCTGACGGCTAAGCTGGGGGGCTATCGCGCGTGCGGAGCTGGAGGCTGATAGGGGTGTCGGGCTTGAGCGGTTGCGGAAGTGGGCTTGTTTGCGGGTAAGGCGGACGGTGGGGTTTGATGGTGGAGGTTTGAGGAACTTGGCGTGCGGTGGAGCTATGCGTGGGTCGGAGGGAGTTGGGTGGCGACAACAGCCGACGCGGCTGCGCTGTGAGGTAGGATAGTCGGAAGCTCGGCTGGGGAGAGCGGATGATTCCTCAGCGGGGGTAATGGCAGCTGAGCGTGGGCAGTGAGAGGGAGAGGTCACGGCGGGAGCTCAGGGCTAGGGGCGGAGGATAAGGGAAGGATGAGGAGACAACAGAATGAGGGGACGGCGGCGGTTGGATCAGGTGGCGCTGGTGGCTGTCTTCGAAGACTGGGAGGAGAGGCGGAGGAGCTCAGACTGTCGGTTGGAGCTGGGGAAGGGAGAGGGAGGAGTAGAGCGAGCGCGTGACGCGGGGGAGGTTGAGGGCGGTGGAGTGATGTAGGAGAGGGTCTGCTAGAGTTGTTCTTTGAGGGGAGGAGAGAAAAGAACGAGAGGAGAGAGGGGCTGGTGTGGGTTTTTGGGGGAAGAGAGGCAGAGAGAGTTAAGAGGGTGGCGGCTGTGAAAGAAAATGAGAGAGAGAGAGAGGGTATATTTATACGTAGGATTAGGGTTTAGGGAATAATTAGGAAATAATTAGTATAATTAATAATAATACTTATAATAACAATTACAATAATAAAAACGATATTAATTTAAAGTTTTCACTGCAACAATTTAATTTATAATTATCAAAATCATTAAATAAATATAAAATCAGATTTTTAAATTGTAAAAAATTCTAGAAAATCGAGAAAATATAAATACTCTTTTAAAAATAATAATTTAATACCGAAAATTTATTTAAACTAGTATCAAAAATTCATGATCATTACAATAACCAACTAAATCAGAGATATAAAAATTTGAAAGACTTAACTATACTTAAAAGTTTTTTTTTTTACTTCTCAAATATTTCAAATAATATATTGATGAAACTAAACACAAACTTCTAACGAATGTGGTGTATGCCAACTGGCAATCATTCATAGGCTTTGTTATTGTTGTGTTATTTGATAAATAGTATAGATTATTAATATATAAGTAAAACATATATAATATGTGAAAATTAAACTAAATTGTCATAAAAATAAAATTTGATGGAATTATGATTGCTTTTATGACGATCGAACCAAATTATCATGCATCTAAGTTATTGTAATTTTCTATTCCTTCATCTGGTTCTTATATATGACTTATTATAAATAAAAATATTCATAATAGGCTAAAAATTTATTATAATCATCTACACTTATATACCGTTATAATTATAAAAATATATAATGATAACAAATATTATTTAATATATTATAAAATTTTAAATAAATTTTGATTGAAATTATAATAATTATTTGAATTATAATAATTATTTATACAATTCTTGTGCATAATTATATTATGAAATTTCATTTATTAATTTTAATTTTCAATTTAAGAATTTATATTGCTATAAAAGCAACTTCACAATTTTTCAGTCAACAAAAAAATTAAAAACGTAAACAAGTTGCCGCGTGAAAAGCGCATGCACTATACTAGTTTTAAGAGAAAAGGCTATGTTATGCTCACCTTTATGTAACCAGGTTGTCATATATTACATATACTTATATTTGTATATGCGTGCGTAGGATATACTGATTATGAGATGTCACCTCATTTAGAAAAAAATGAGCTATCAAGGGATAAGATTGGTAGTAGAGCATTGTTTTAAAAACAGCCTAGTTTCATCAATTTATCATGTTTGTATATAGGTATTAGGGCCACGACCAATACGATTTCTACAAAAAATTATCGCATATCATTTTTGGCCGATTTGTCTAGATATATCTGTGTAAATACGATAAAGCGGCCAATTTCTCTTATCATTCATGGCCCCAATACCTACATATCGGCGATAAAAATTGATGCAATCGGCCTATTTTTAAAACAATGGTCTGCTACCAATTTTGTCCATTGATAGCTCATTTTTTTTCTAAATGAGGTGACATCTCATAATCAGTATACCGTACCACAAATAGACAAATCAAACTAGTATGATATATAATATATGATAACCTGGTTGCATGAAGGTAACAACAACAACATAGCCTTTTTTGCATAAAATAAAAAGGCAACGTACCTTCCTTTGTTTCTTAGTAAGAATTTACAGGAGCAAACTGATACAAACTGATTTCTCTTTATGCATACTGGATATTGGTCCGTACTGTGAGGTACTGTGAAAAATTAAAACAACCCTTACCGGAAATCTTCCATCAGTCCACGGCTCCAGTGCTTCATTCGTTGCTTATCTTTAACTGGACTTCTTCCAACTTTCCTGTGTTGTTCATTTGTTCTACTATGTAACAACTATTTGGGCATGATCGAAAAAAACACAAGTTTTATTTTCTTCTTATAATTTGTGAGCTACTTGTCTTGTGTAACCAATCCGTTTTCCTGCATCATTCAAGTCTATATTTAGTGCAGAGAATGAAAGCTTGCCTACAAAGTAAAAAAGAGGAACAATTTTTCAAAACCGACTGAAATTTTTTTTTTTTTTTCAAAACCGACTGTTTTTTTTTTATTTATCAAAAAAAAAAAAAAAACAGTCGGTTTTGAAAAAAAAAAAAAAAATCAGTCCGTTTTGAAAAATCAGTCCGTTCAGTGTATATATGCTTCTCTTTACGGGCGTTTATATGTTATAGGGATTTGGTTAAAATTCCAGTGATTGATGATAAAATCATATTATCTGTTATACCTTGCAATCAAAGCCCTTCATGTTTTTTTCAGATCTACATATTACTCAAGTGTCATCAGAAAATCACAGAGACGAGTTCATTGGATGGGGAAAGAGAGCATTTGCACGAAGCAAGGCAAGCTATTTTTTATCCTCTTTGTTTTTCCTTGTTTGCCACCTTGTTATATTTTGTGTTGTGCCACAATCGAACTTCTTTCGTTGCCCATTTGAGATCACAAGATTTGTCAGTCACTTTCTCAAAATGTTTGATTTGTACAATCCTCAGTGAAGAATACACATCAGCTTTGATTTCGCAGCACGAGTCATTGTTACAGTTGGGTGGATGCCATTAAGCCTCCTTGCCGGCCCAGTCGATTAATGGAATCTTACTGACTCCATTCATCGAATTGTCCGTGTTTGCAGCCTTTCTGAGTCAATAGGCTGAACCTGTCTCCCTTTAACCTGCACTGTCAAGAATTTAAACAATAGTTAAAGCGACACCTAAGCATTAGTGTGAATCAGGTCATCCTAATTGGTAAGTTAATCAACACTGAAGCCCTTCTGAGTCAATAGGCGTTGAATACTATCCCAACCTCCCCAACCGGAAAGATAAATTGGTGCTGGTACATGTTATTATCTCAACCTCGTGTATCTTTTCCTACCGCAGAAGAGAGAATGGCCAACAATGCCATGAATTATAGGTATTTTAAGGACATGCATGGTCCCCTAATAATATTACTTGTGGAACATCATCATCATCACTATGATCATAAACCCAGCTCGTTTATCATTATAATGATATCATTATTGTAGTGGTTCGTTTTTAGTAGATGCACAATAAATTCTATTACTGTGAGAATAATACACACCGATCATAATCCAACATTATGATTGCATAACACAAGCAAACCTAATAACCATTTTGATCAGATTTAATAGATCTCATGAACAAATTTCCTCAAACTCCGATCAGATGATCCTCCTTCACCGACAGCCTCTGCAAGTCGCTCCTTCCACAGCTCTGCTTTCTTCCGAATCTCCATTCCTCCTTCACCCTCTCCCATGACCAAATCCAAGCACCTCCGCAACTCCTCGCCATTCAATATACCATCTTCATTAACCCCACCCCTGACTCCGTTTCCCCACTCTCTCTCCATAAGCATGGCATTCGTCCCTTGGTCCGTCCATTGAGGCACTCCCACTGTGGGCACTCCGAACACCAAGCTCTCTAGCGTTGAATTCCATCCACAATGTGTCACAAAACATCCTATTGAAGGGTGAGTCAGAACTCGCATTTGCGAGCACCACTCCACCACCATTTCATTCTCTCCCTTGTCTTCGATCTCTATTCCTTCGTACCTGCAGTCTGCTCTCAGCACCCACAAGTACGGCCTCCTGCTTGCTTTCAACCCTTTCGAAAGCTCCTCAATTTGCTGCTTCTTTAGGACTGCTAAGCTCCCAAATGATACATACACAACCGAACCCTTGTTAGATTTGGGGGTGGAAACCAAACCTCCGACGGTGGAGGAGCTCCGACGAGCTCCGACGAGCTCGAGAATGGCGAAGATGACGCAGGAGAAGTCGACGAACGCACAATCTCGGCGAACGCACAATCTCGGCGAACGCAAGCTTCGGGCGAACGCAGACCTTCGAACTCTGCGTTTGGCGAAGGCCCGAGCTCTGCGTCACAGTGAGGCCGACCTCTGCGTTCGTGCGCTCTCCCCTTGCGTTCGCGGGCCGCTGGCGACAGGCTGTCGCCAGCTCATCCACCTCGCCTATAAAAAGGCACCTAGGGTTTTTTCGGTGTAGCTGCTGGAACTTCCCCTCTCCGTTTTTCTCCTCTGGCGGCGGCTCCTCTCTGGTTTGATCTCTCTCCCTCGCGTGGCTTTCTTCAGCGGTGGCGTCGGACCCAAATCGCAGCAGCGATTTTTTCTCCAGCTCTCAGAAGTTTGAGGGGAGTTTAAGAAAGAGATTAGAGAGAGAGATTAAAAGAGGGGTTTATAATATTGTGGATATTATTTAAACTCAAGTGAGATTTGAAAGGGTTCATACCCTTTAATTATTAACACTGTAGCTACAGTGTTTATTTGAGAAATCTCAGTTTTGAGATCTGCTCATAAATTGTAATTTCTTGTTTGATTAATAAGAAATTATCTGTGTGGCTCCCGAGGACGTAGACAGTTGCCGAACCTCGTTAAAACTTGGTGTACTTTTCTATACTGCGTTTCTGTTGCAATTAGGGGTTTAGGCGTTAAATTCCCAACAACCCTTTGGTTTCAAGTCCAGCCACTGGATGTACTCCTTCTCGTCAGACATGAACATATCGAAGCCGGATGCTTTCTTATTATCCTTGGGAATTGACTGAAGAATTGGGCCTACTGCAATCAAATCTACATCTTCAATAGCGGAAAGAGCATTAGCTTCTAGTTCATCAAAGGTGTTCACTAAAACTCTGGGCTTATGCTTGCTTCGCTCAATCTCTCTATCCAGTATCAAGAACGCCTCTTTTATGATGCTAAGGAATGCAGAATAGAAATCACCCGAAGAGTTCGGCACAATCAATAATGACGGCAGATCTCGTTTGCACAGCGGTGGCGACCCGGTAGTTCCACTGTATACAAGGGGTCTTTACAGTCTGCAGCTACATGATCCTCATGTCCATGAAAAGAGTGGTAATATATGGCGAAAATGGTGGCTGGCTGGATCCAGTACAGGGCCGATGGAATTCCATGCTTATGGGCAACATCGGCGGCCCATGATAACACGAAGGTGTAGATAATGCAGTCGACCCCTCGACCACGTGAATCAAGCGTATTGATAATAGACGAGAGGCTCTGTGAGCCAACGGTCTTGAACTGGGAGAAGAATTGGTTGGCGTCGTCAACACCGGGGTTGAAGCCCTCATCATAGCCGTTGGCGAGGAGAATATAGGTGATGGGTCCACCTTCATCGACTTCTTGGTCGATGGATGTGAGATTAGGGAACATTTTCCGGTGGCCAAAGATGGAGGTGGAGAAGGTGATACGGGCTCCGGTGGTTTGGACCAGGCGGTCTGCGAGGTGGATAGCCGGGTTTATGTGGCCTTGGGCTGGGTAGGTGACTATGAGAAAGTGGTGCTGATGAGTCCCCTCCATTCCTTTTCTTGCAACAGGGTTCTAATTGGCTGATTCAATAGTTTGGAGCGGAAAGTGGAGAGATATGGGATTTGATTTATAGAAGGAGACGGAACTGGATTTAGCACTAAAGATCATTTTGTTTATACTAGACAAATATCACATTATACCAACTTCCCCACACTACTACAATCTGTAGCAGCCCTTGTTTGTAGCAACTCCAACGGTTAAACTGTAGCCGCCCTTGTTTGTAGCAGCCCCAATGGTTACAGTTAAACTGTAGCAGCCCTTGTTTGTAGCAGTCCCAACGGTTAAACTGTAGCAGCCCTTGTTTGTAGCAGCCCCAACGGTTGTAACCGTTGGGGCTGAGCGTGTCCCCAACGGTTACTACAAACTATAGCAGCCCTTGTTTGTAGCAGCCCCAACAGTTGTAACTGTTGGGGCTGAGCATGTCCCCAACGGTTACAACCGTTAGGGCAAGAACTTTTTATTTTTTGATTTTAAAAATAAAAAAAGGTCCTAACGGTTGTAACCGTTGGGGCCTTAACCAGCCCCGACAGTTGTAACCGTGGGGCCTTAATTATCCCCAACGGGTACAACCGTTGGGGCTATTAGATTATTGCTGGGATTCAAACAACCAAATACTGGGGTATCATGAGCCAAGCATGCGATACAAGCTTAAATTTCACTAGCCTGTGTAATTCCTATGCATATATTGTTTTCCATACATCAAATTGAACATTTGTAGGTTTTCCTACACTACATACCAATTTATTGACAAAAAAGTCCTCCTGAAACAACCCATTTCGAGTGACAAGAATTAAGTACAAAATCATTAACTATATATGTACTCTGAAAATATCGTCCTCTAGACCTATCACTAGGTAAAACTCCACTGCAGATTCCATTCCTATCTCGAGAACACCTCAAGAGATAGAATATCACTGCCTACATAGAACCTTAGGAGCCTTATCTGATAGATTATATGACATCTACTACTCTATCACTAATGCTAAAGTTCTGTGGGAAACACTAGAGAAGAAGTATGGTTTAGATGATACATGAATTAAAAGATTTAAAGCCTCTGATTTTAACAAAATTAATGGTAGATTCCAAACCAATGAATGAGCAGATTCATGAATTCGAATATATAGTTCGTCTACTGAAAATGAATGGATCTATCTTAGATGAAACTATTCAGATAGCCTGTCTTATAGACAAACTTTCTGAAACCTGGTCAGATTTTGCCAAAAACCTTAGCCATACCCAAGGAGATCTTACTCTTGATCAAGTGTTTAATGCCATTAGAATCGAAGATCAACATAGACTCAGGGAGAAAAATGTGACAGAATCTGAACCCGAAGTTAACAATGTAGAATCCAAACCCATTCCCAAACTCAAGAAGCGCCCCTCCCACAAAAACCAAAATAGAACATTTAAGAAGAAATCCTATCATCAGAATAAAAACCCTATCCAATTTCAAAAGAAGGAATGAGGTGAACGTCGAGCTTGCTTTGTTTGTGGACGAACCAACCACCTCGCTAAGGACTGCTTTTAAAAGAAGTCTGAACCACCCAAGCTTAGGAAGAGAGGACCTCCACCAAATAAGACCCAAGTAAACATGGTGACTTCCAATTCAGCTGAGACTGCTTTCAAATCGGTTCTCTTCACCCCTGAAGTAAACATGACCTTACAAGAAAATGATTGGTAGATTAACACTGGAGCTAACATTCACGTCTGCTCAAATCAATCTCTGTTTTCCACTTATCAGGTCTCAAGTAGAGAAACTGTAACTATGGAAAATAATGATGTGATTCCTATATCTGGAATAGGTCGGACCAACCTAAAGCTGACTTCAGATAAGACATTGATCCTACAGGATGTCCATCATGTACCAGACATTAGGAGAAACTTGATTAGTGGATCTTTGTTAGTGCAACAAGGCTATAAACTTGTCTTTGAATTAAATAAAATTGTAATAACTAAGGGATTGAATTTCAATGGAAAAGGATTCTTATGTGATGGTCTTTTTAAATTGAATGTTAAGAATTCTACTTTTGCATCTCCAATGGCTTTGAATATTGAACCTTCTATCACTTGCATCAAAAATTGGGACATGTGAATTGTAATTCAATTAAAAGACTGATGCATCTCAATATAATTCCAAAGCTTAATATGAAAGATAATGAAAAATGTGAAATATATGTAGAAACTAAACTTCCTAAGAAACCCTTCAAAATTATTGATAGATATTCTGAGATATTAGAACTCATCTATAGTGATGTCTGTGATTCTGGAAGAACTTCTAGAGGAGATAATAAGTACTTCGTAACTTTTATAGACGATTGTTCTAAATATTATTATCTCTACTTAATTAAGACCAAAGATGAAGTGATAAACAAATTCAAAATGTATAAAATAGAAGTTAAAAATCAGTTGGATAGGAAAATTAAAATACTTAGATAAAATAGAGGTGTTGAGTACACTTCTAATGAACTAAGACAATTTTGTGAAGTGAATAGAATCATTCATGAGATGACCGCGCCATATACGCCTCAGTCTAATGGAGTAGCTGAAAGAAAGAATAGAATACTAATGGACATGGTAAACTCAATGTTGATTAATTCTGGTGTGCTAAAGAACTTGTGAGGAGAAGCCTTCATGACTGCCTGCCATATACTAAATAGAATTCCATTCAAAATTCTGATAAAACCCCTTACACAATTTGGAAGAATAAAAACCCTAATTTAGATCACCTGAAAGTGTGGGGATGCTTAGCAAAGGTTAAGATACCTTAGAATAAGAGAAAGAAGATATACCCTAAGACTGTAGATGAAAAATTTATTGGTTATGCTTCTGATAGTAATACAAACAGATTTCTAATAATCAACTCTGATATTAATGAGATAGCCAATAACATCATTGTTGAAGCTAGGGATGCTCATTACTTTGAAAACATTTTTCTCTACAAAACCAGAGTAAGCAACTCAGGCCCTAACTCTAACAATTCAGATCCTAGTTCTAATCCTATTCCTAACGAAGGTGAAACTAGTTCGAGATAAAACAGACCACTAGAACCTCAAGAGGAACCTAAAAGAACTAAGAGAATTAGAATAGAAAAGGTCCATGAAGACTTCTATGCATTACTTGAAGAAGATTCTCCAATCACATTTGAGGATGCAATAAAATCAATACATGCTCCATTTAGGAAGGAAGCTATAAATAATAAAATTCAATCTATAGTTCAAAACCATACTTGGGAACTCACCGATCTTCCTCCAGGCTACAAAACTATAGGATGTAAATGGGTATTTAAGAAGAAACTCAGATATGATGGAACAATAGATAAATATAAAAGCCAGATTAGTAGCTAAAGGATATACCAAAAAATCTGGTATTGATTATTTTGATGTTTATTCTCCAGTTGCTAGGATTACTACCATTAGAGTCCTTATAGCTCTAGCATCCATTTACAAACTGATAATACATCAAATGGATGTTAAAACTGCATTTTTAAATGGAGACTTAGATGAAGAAATTTATATGGATCGATGTTAAAACTGCATTTTTAAATGGAGACTTAGATGAAGAAATTTATATGGATCAACCCGAGGGATTTGTTGCTTCTGGGAGACTTAGATGAAGAAATTTATATGGATCAACCCGAGGGATTTGTTGCTTCTGGACAAGAGAAGAAAATATGCAAGCTTATTAGACACTATATGGTCTCAAACAAGCTCCAAAACAATGGTACATAAAATTTAATGAGATTATACTATCTTATGGATTTGTAATTAATCAAACAGATGAGTGTGTATAACATAAATAGATAATAACAACAAAATTATGATTTTATACTTATCTGTTGATGATATTCTTATTTTTGGTTCTGATATACAAACCATAAATGATATCAAACACTTTTTATCAAAAAATTTTGACATGAAAGATTTAGGTCTGTAGGTGTCTAAAAATGCCCAAAGGTTCCCGCACGCAGCTCGAGACGAAAAGAAGACGATGAACGTCATCATCCGAGTCAAGAAGGATTATCTGAGTAGCTCGTACACTTGTTGATCAGCTCCAAGTACCCGACGTGCTTGTCGGTTAGCTCCAAGTGCCCGTCGCGGTTGTCGGTCAGCTACAAGTGCCTGCCACGCTTGTCGGTCAGCTCCAAGTACCCGCCCTGCTTGTTGGTCAGTTCCAAGTATCATAAAGAATCTAACGAGCTCATGAAACAAGTTAGCGAAGCGTACAAGTCAACAAGATGATCAAATACGCAAAACGATAAAAAGTACAAGTCCTAGAAAGTCGCAAAGTGCTAAAGAGTTTCAAGCGAGGCCGGCCCCTCAACAATGCCAGCACGGAGAGTGCTGGCTGACCCGTGCCAGCGCGGCGATAGCAGCTGTTGTCCTGCGCCAGCGCGGGTCCAGTGCTGGTTGACCAGCGCCGAGCGCGGGTCAGCCTCGGCTGAGACCGTACCCCTGCCAGGGCAGCACGAGCTGTCCCGCGTCCAGGTCCGAGACGATAGCGCCTGCCGCGCGCCTTAAGTACCCAAAACGTGTTTCTGGATAGGTTTTTGGGATTTCTTCATTTCTAAGTGTTCCAATTGCTTATATATCATATCTAAACGTGGATAGGTCATTGTCAACTGAAGATATGGCCAAATCCTTTGTTTTTATCCAAATACCCTGCATCTGAAGCCCTATAAATACAAACCTAGGGTCTCCTTGCAGAAGGGGCAAATTATTATCAAGAGGAGGAGGTGCTGGATTGAGGAGTCAAGGAGCATGAAATTTCAGAGGAGGCTAGCTAGATCCCGACGAACTTCGACATAAAGAAGGAGTCTTTTGAAGGATCTGAAGCCCCGTACCCCCTTTCCTTAAAATTAGGCTTGGTCTTAATCTTGAGAAGAGTACTGATTTCGCTTGGTCGATATCAGTACTTTAGCGGATACTTTCTTGGTGAAGTAGGAGTTCTGATCAATTATTCTGTCAACCGGATCCGATCCGTAAGCTGTCCACGGATAAACCCCGACACAGACAAAGATCCCACACAAATAACAATAGGTGATAAACGTGCTCTGCTGTGTGTTGTTTGAAGGAGATTGTAATTTTCTTTATTTTTTTTCAATGTGTAAGTGTTCGCGGGGAAAACCGTTGCTTTCTTCATTGATTCCATTGCTATCTTGAATAACAGTTTTTCGGTGACAAAGATCCGGTCTTTTTATAAGATCCGGTTACAATGAAAATCAAATAAAAGAAATTAAAAAAATTACAACTTTTTCTCCTTGTTGTCGAACAAATCACAAGCTCCTGTTTTGCGGTCGCTCGTTTGCGTGGGTTCTTCGCCTGCGCCGGGGTTTATCCGTTGACCACCGCGGGATCTAGATCCGGTCGGATC